ATGGGGCGGGGGGAGTGTGGAGGAGACGGTTCTAAGATGTGATTGGTGCCAGATCCTATACCTAGATGCCAGATGCCACCCGAAGGGAGACCGCTTCTCCTAAATCCGCATTCCCGTCCCCCCAGACCCATCGACCCCTCCCCTGTGCCCCACACGTGCTGGCTCCAGGAACAGGCTGGTGCCCTGCCCCACAAACATGCCAGTGTCAGGCATTTCCCTTGTCTGGGGTGCGGCATGCGCAGCGCCCGGATCCATCCTGACCTGTCGACAGGACAGTTTAGCACCTGCCATGGGGGCTGGAGGATGCCCACACCATCTTTCCCACAGGACGTGCCTCCTCTCGAGTAACGCACACTCCCCAAGAAACTCTTGATGTAACTAATGCTGGAGCTGTAAGCCTCTTCAGGCTCTGAGCCTGGGAAATGTTATGCAACAGGGCCTCCAGGGAAGGGCCTTTCCTCCACGCTGGGGGCCTATTGTCTTTGGTGAGAAGAAGGGAGACCACGCATGGTGGCCACCCTCCCCCCCTGCACTGGGCCAGGACAGGCAATAAAGGCTCATTAGGACCTGGGGAACCACAGTGCCCTCCCTAGAGTCTGTGATGGAGCCTGCGTCTCAACCGAGCCTGTATCCTTGCAGAATTCTCAAACATCCCCACTACATAACCAAAAGTCACCAAGCAACTCCCATGCACCACTTGACATTGGGGGGAGGGGGACTTTCTGGACCTTTAGCTTGGATCCCATCTTCATGCCTCTAAATGGGAGGGTGGGACAGCCAGAGCACACCCTCGCTCATGTGATGGAGCCTGCGTCTCAACCGAGCCTGTATCCTTGCAGAATTCTCAAACATCCCCACTACATAACCAAAAGTCACCAAGCAACTCCCATGCACCACTTGACATTGGGGGGAGGGGGACTTTCTGGACCTTTAGCTTGGATCCCATCTTCATGCCTCTAAATGGGAGGGTGGGAAGGCCAGAGCACACCCTCGCTCATTCCGGCTTCACCCTGTTGGTGAATATTAATGAGGGTCTGCTGCGGCATGGAGCCAGGGTTTCCACCCTAACCAGCCAGATGTGGTCTCTGGCCACCAGCTCTCACTAGCTGGAGCAGGAGGTGGGAAGGGAGTATATTAGCTCTTGGGATGACAGTAAAATGGGAAATGTGCAAAGTTCTCCTGAGAAGGACAGGAGGACTCACAGGGGACTTGGTTAGGAACATTTCCTGGAGGAGACTGCATTAGCCAGGTTGGGAGTGGGCGTGGGGGTGGGTGAGGGAAGAGCATTCTAGGAAGAAGGAACAGAAAGGGCAAAGGACCAAGGACCGGGGGCTGCCAGGTCCTGAGACCTTAGCCACAGTCTCCAGAGTACTGGCCTTGGTGGGTGGAAGCAGTAGAGCCGAAATTGAGACCTGGCTGTGGACCCCTCGCCCTTAGGCACCTTGCATAAACCCCTGTGCCTCCGTTTCTTCCTCTGCATAATGGGGATAATAATGATACTGTGTAGGGTTGATAGGCGATCCAGTCAAAGCACATAGCATATTATTGATACACAGAAAATTTTCAAGTTGAGTGGTGGCTAAAATCATGTGACAAAATGGATCTGTAGGTTGGTCTTGGTGGGAGCTGTGGACCAAAAATAAATAAAAATGAAAAAAAGAGGGGTTCCATGGAAAGTAACTGTTAGATCACCAGAGCAAGGACGATGGGCCAGGTACAGAAACTCGCCAGGGCAGAAAGCTCCAGATGCCTAGCTGGGAAATAAGAACTTTGTCCCCAGGATCACCTATCCTCCAGTAGCATAAAACTGGTCATGCGGTTTGGATACCTGATCTTTCATATTGCTGGTCAGGCGGTTTAGACCACTCTGACCTTTTCCTCCCTAAAGATAACATCTAGGCCTCAGTTGTATTTCAGCTCCAGGCCCAGAAAAGCAGCAAAACTAGACAAGTGTTGCTGTGGCTGCCTCAGGACCAGCTACATTGACTAATGACCCCCTGCCCTGGCATTGACCAGTCAGTGGAGACCATGACCCTGAAAGAGCACACCTGGAAAGCTGATGAATATTCTATTGAGCCCTCTCCTGGGACCTCCCCTAAGATTGCACTATATCTTCTCTACAAATATTAATAATTTAAATCATGTGTATGGTTTTCATGTATTTGCCTGTATGTTATATGTGTTTTCTGCCTCCAGATGGCACCACTAGGGTATAATGTTTTATTGGCCTACAGAGATTAAATACTTATATAAATTGAATAGGATCCTATGATCTAGACAAAATATTGAATATTAAAACCAGTTTAAGTTTAATTAATAACTTTTAAAGTTATTAACACATAATATATACATTTGTTTTACCTAGATTTACAATATAACTAGAGGCCCAGTGCATGACATTCGTGCACTGGAGGAGGTGGTCCCTCAGCCCGGCCTTTACCCTCTCACAGTACAGGACCCCTCAGGGGATGTCCACCTGCTGGCTTAGGCCCACTCCCCTCAGTTGGCAGGTGGACATCCCCCAAGGGGTCCTTAGTGCTGCAGCGGAGGTGGGAGAGGCTCCTGCCACTGTTGCTGCGCTCGCCAGCCGGGAGCCGGGATTCTGGTTGAGCTGTGCTCCCCCTGTGGGAGCGCACTGACCACCAGGGCGGGGGAGGGGTGGTGGTGGTGGTGCTATCTTCAGCTCCTCAGGGTGCCCAAAGCCTCAGGTCCCTGCTCCCTTCCTCTGGTCTCATTCTAACTTTTGAGTTTGTGGCAGGAGGGGTGTCAGCATCCTGCATGAGCTCCACCTGCCAGCAATAGGGACCCGCACTTAAGTATGGACGCCTGATCCTGCCCCCTTCCTCCATCCCAAGACCCCCCAGGCTGTTGCTGCCAAATTCTAGACTCTTGAATTGTCATAGCAGGGGAGAGGCACAGGCCGCAAAGTTCCCAGAACATCTTGGGGCAGGGGAGCAAAGGAACCAGACCTGGGTTCCAATCCTGACTCCCTCTTACAAACGGGAGACCTCGCTGATGTGACAACCTCTTAGCGCCTCTCTTGTAAAATGGAAATAATACTATTCCTGCCTCCTGAGGTTATACTGGTACAGTGAAAGAAGAGAGGAACTATGTTTTATTTGAATACATATATTTTTATTAAAATGAATAAAAATTCCGGGGGGGGGGGGCAGTTCCTGCATTGAGCGTCTGCCCCCTGGTGTCAGTGTGCATCATAGAGACTGATTGTTTCACCATTTGGTCCATTTGCATATTAGGGTTTTATTATATAGGGTTTTATTATAAAAGTATAAAATATACTTTTGATTAAGTATATTTGACAACCTTCCCAAAGTTTAAATTTCTTTTTCTGTTTTTGTTAATTCCGTGAGGATATTTTTCTATTGATTTTTAGAGAGAGTGGAAGGGAGGGAGAGAGACAGAGAGAAAGAAGCATCAATGTAAGACACATCTAGTGGTTGTCTCCCGCACGCCCCAACAGGGTCGGGGGATCGAGCTTGCAACTGAGGTATGTGCCCTTGACCGGAATCAAACCCATGGCCCTACAGTCCATGGGCCGACACTCTATCCCCTGAGCCAAACTGGCTAAGGCCCAAAGTTTAAATTTCAAAAGACTTTTTTTTTTTTTTTTTTACCAGAGAAATGACTTCGAGTTATTACAATGGGCCCTGAAATATCTCAAGGATTCATTCTCTCTCCTAAGTTTCTAAACTAATTAGGCCTATTTAATATACTTGAAAAATTACATGGGAAGACTCCTAGTGCCCCAGGGTCTCCGAGGGTCCTGTCTTCAGCCCTGGCAGGCCATTTGGGGCAGCAAGTGAGGAGGGCTATAACCAACTGAGAGAGGTGGCTGCTGATGTCCATCCAGGGCCCCACAATAAGAAGTGTTATGTGGATGTGAGGGCTTGGTATCCTTCAGACAGTACCATTTGAGGTCATGATTCCCCATCTGGGAGCTTATACTGTGGCCAGACCCTATTACAATAGAAAATTACTCTTTTCTTTTTGAAGGTCCGCGAGTCAAATCATGCCCAGTTAGCCAAGATACAGGCCAGGGGACTCCCGCCTGGTATAGTTTGTCGATTCCCCATCTGGAAGGAAGAAAATTAGGAATTAGACAGCCCAGCATCCTGGGGTCAGTTGTGGAGCTTGGGGTCCCAGGGCTCAAGGACTAGTATCTAAAGTCTCAGGCTTCTAGCAGGGATGATGAGAGACTAAGGGCACCACCTATTCTCACCATAATTGGAGAGGAGGGGAAATCAAGCCTTTCTCAGTGATGGGTGTCTCTGCAGACCTGGTTGGGGTGGGATATGCCCAGGAATCCGGGAGCAGGCAAGTCTGCTC